GCCTGTCTGCCTGTCTGTCTTTCTGTCTCTCTCATTCCGAAGGCTAGTGCCATACTATAAGGCTTCCAAGCCTTCCCCTGAAACATGAACTAAATAAACTTATGTCATATTTTATCAAATTTTGTCAAATTATATCATAATTTACAGTCTGTGAGCATCTGTTGTACCAGCATAAGATGGACTAAGTCAGTAGACCACTTGAAGAAAGGTCTGTTGTAAATCAAATTTGTGAAACTGAAAGAACAATATTCCCTTCATGTTAATCGAAGGTTTAAGTTTAGATGGCTTTAAATAGCAAGAGCATTGCAGGGTTGAGCTACGATTCAATTTGTGTAGGTTGATAGGAGTGAAATCATCTTTCTTCACAAAGGCTGTGCATTGTCTGGTAGGGCGCAGGTGCAGGCCTGTGCTTCTCCGGGAACATGGATCTGGGAAAGGCACGCCACCCCAGGCATCGCGCAGGTCCATGCTCAGGCTCGTAATAAAAATCGCCATCCTAATCCTGGCATCACTAATGCATCTTAGAGTCACGTTGTAGGCTGCTCCAGTCACAGTTCTTTGTGCTCCGATGAGATGGCTCTTGAAACACTGTGCTCCACACTGAAGCTAGCTAGTGCCCTGGACCTGCTGGCCACTCTGCTTCTGTCACATTCTCTGGTCAGGCAAGTCAGTAAAGCAACTGGGCTCAAGAGGAAAGACTGGAGGCAATGTCCCCAGTGGAAGGAGAAGTAAATGTTTGTAACTGTCTTCTCCACACATAACATAAAGGTGCAGACACGGTCCTTCATTTACATAAGGTACTCTACTGTGATTGGTGCTGAAAGTCCTTCATTTGCAGGAGGAATGCTGTGATTGGTGCAGACACAGTCCTTCATTTACATAAGGTAGTCTACTACAATTGGTGTCAAAAGTCCTTCCTTTTCAGGAGGGAATGCTGTGACACAGTTGCCATGTTTCTTGCCTGACTATATGAGCAGGTTCTTCAACTCACTTTTGGAGTCAGCTGTGAGAGACCCTTCTGTGTTGCAATATTAGGCCAAATGGAGACGTGTCTGGAGTGGTGTTTTCTTGCCTACTCTTGAGGTTTGCCATTTGTAGAGTGGGCTGACCTGCAGACCTGAAGACGGAGCTGGCCCAGTGGTGAGGCTGGGGCAGCGGCAGCAGAGCTGGCAGCCGCTGCAGTGACACGGGGACAGCAGACAGACAGGGTGGAGACAGACGGCTGGAAAGAGCCAGAGAGGAGCCGGCGGTTCCTGGAGGACGTCCAGAGAGCTGTGAACTCCCCACGGCTGGCCAGAGCCGAGGATCCCAAACCTGAGCCCTGGGTGGAGGACCGTGTCCGAAGGGCAGAGAACCAGGGCATCGTGCCTGTACCGAGCTCTGACACTAGAGGGAACCTACCTATCGGTGCTTGCTGCGGCCCTGCCAAGATGACAGAAGCCACCAGGCGCCAGGCTGAGGCCTTGCTGGCACCGTGGGCTTCCCAGCTAGGCTGAGTGGAAGGACTCAGCCAGCTGACTGGTGACTGATGTATGGACACAACACGTTTTGAAAAAACAGAGAGCAATCAACAACATTAAAAATGGACAAGTTTGCCGGGTGCTGGTGGCTCACGCCTGTAATCCTAGCTACTCAGGAGGCTGAGATCTGAGGATCGCGGTTCAAAGCCAGCCTGGGCAGGAAAGTCTGTGAGACTCTTATCTCCAATAAACCACCAGAAAACTGGAAGTGACGCTGTAGCTCAAGTGGTAGAGCACTCGCCTTGAGCTGAAGAGCTGAGGGACAGCGCCCAAGCCCAGAGTTCAAGCCCCACGACCGACAAAAAAAAAATGGACAAGTTCCTGCATATCATTTAAAGCTTGTCTATCAATATGGAAAATATTGTTGTTTTAGTTGAGGTTCTCCAGAGGCAGAACCAAGATGATACGTAGGTGGGTGGCTGGATGGATAGATAGATCGATGATAGATAGATGATAAATAGATAGCTAGAACTAGGTATGTACAAATGGCAGGGATTATACATTGGCTTACATGATCAGAGGCTGAGTAAGTTCACAATGGCTGTCTCTGTGCTGGGAAGGCAGAGACTCCAATAGCTGCTAACTCTTAGAAGCCAGAAGCCTGAGGACAGGAAGGCCAAGGATGCAGACCTGGACTGAGGAGCATGGCCTGGGAGCTCCCTGGAGACTCTCTGGTGCGAGACCATGCCGAAAGGCTGGGAGATCTACTGGTGATGTGCTAGAAAGCCCAGGGTCCTGGGTGCTGGCTGCCGACTCTTCCATTCTGGTACCATCAGCCCTGGCCCGTTGGCTAGGGTCAACAGGCTTTTGGGGAGGGTCTCTGCCCCTCTCCCAGGCCAGTATCTCGGAGCCATCCTCACAGACACACGTGGAAGTGCCCTGTCCTAACCTGTTAGGCAGCTCCCGGTCCAGGCAAGGTGATCCACACTGGCCATCACAGGTGAAGTTAGACTCCTGTTTCACATCCTGTGTGAAACCACCCCACAGACCAGCGCCAAGGCCATGGCCTTTGGCCGCGTTGAAGGTTGGTGTGAGTGACTGCCTTTATGACTTGGAGGTGAAAAATGAGTGCCTTCTTCAAAGAGACACAGCACAGCAAGAAGAAGGACAGAAACATGTTATTACCTTAAAACTAGATTGTGGAGAGAGGGGAGAGTGCCATGGAGAACCCAAGGTAGATCCGCAGAGTTCAGCGAAGTGGGTGTGTGGGCTGCGAGGGCGGATGGGAGGTTGAAGGTGACACCGACCACGCGCAGTGTACTCACAAGGGCCGCACAACTGCTTAAAGATAGTGAAAGCACTAAGGCTAGAGATGGAAACTCACAGCACTGCAGACACGAGACAAGTCACAATCGCACACACATACTGTAATTATAGAATGAATGACTGATTTCTGGAACTAAAGAGTTTTACAATGTCTTATGTATGAATGAACACATGTATGCATGTATGCGTAAAATCTCACTCAAAGCCATATGGAAGAAACGTAAAGAAATAGAAGGGCGAGCAAGAAAATGAGGTGCAGGGTTCACAGATGAGACACAGCAAAAGCTCAGCCAGATGAAGATGAAGGCTTCACACCACAGGAACAGCCTCGGCCACCCGGGACGGAAGCTCACCGTGCTTCTCTACTAACTTTGGAGGAAGATGCTGCCAAACTAGGGACCTCTACCCAGGAGTCTATTTTATGCATACTAGGAATGTGTATTCCAATGTTGCTTGAGATGGAGAAAAAACTTGAAACTCTACATAGCTGGCAAAAAGCGAATGGACTAACAAAAGAGTCAGGAGCAGCCTTGTCCGATGCAGCATTCTACAAACCACAGCCCAGGCCCCAGCCTGGCCCCACTGCTGCTTTTTGAATAAAGTTCGGTTGGCACAGCGCCAAGCCTGCCAGCTTATGGCTCATCAGTACCAATGCACACAACGAGGCCCCAGCTGAGAAGCTGCCCGCAGAAGCCTTGAAGGCCCCGCCTCCCACTCTCAGCAGGAAGTCTGGCGCATCCGTATGTCCAACTTAACATGCAACAGCTTCAAAGCCAGGGCGGGAGACATCAGAACCCCATGCACCGCTGACGTGAAGTAGGTAAGGACGTGTAAAATGCGACTCTGCAATTCCCAGACAATACAAATTCATCCACTGCTGAGCTATGTGTGCGTGTGTGTGAGTGTGCACACCGCCCACGCCGGCACAGGACATCTCCTCCAGGAGAGGATAGCAAAAGATGCCATGGCATCCGGTTCCAAGATATTCCCATTTTAGTTTTAATTGATCTCAACCATGTGATCAGTTACAGGCTTTGCAGTAGGATCGCACAGCCTGCAAGGTGCTCATTCTGTGGACATCTCCCCAGGAAGAGAAGCTGTGGGAAGTGCGGCTGAGGAGGGGGGCGGGGTGCCCCGGTGCTCCACGCTGCCGCCGGAGCCTGGGCCGGCCGGGGAACAGGCTCCATGCCACTCGCTTTGGTAACTCCCACAGGCGTTTTGGAGATGGCACACATGCACAGAGAAACAAGCGGCTCAGTAAAGTCGGGCCAGCTCGGGCTGTGCAGGCACCAGATGAAAAGACAGGAAGGTGGCCACAGCTACGTACGTAGACCCCAAAGTAGCCCCCATGCCAAACCCCAGTCATCCTGATGTCACCGGAACTTGAGCTCGGATCGCACACGGAGCGTGAGCTGGATGCTGGAGTGGTCATCGGCACCTGTAGGAAAACAAAACCCGCTCCCACACTTGCGCCTCGGGCCGGGCTTCCTTTGGCGTGGGCTGTGCAGAGCAGCTGACGGCAGATCGTCCCACACCCTCCAAGGCTGCCCTGAGGGACTTTTGGGACTTTGGGGCCTGCAAGCTGACCTTTGTGTGCATGCGGCCTTCCCGTTCCAAACGTTAAGGCGCTTACGGAAGCACGTCCGTCCCAGCAGCCTGTGTGGGTTGGGAAGTGGGGGCTGCGCTTCCTGGAAGTGTGTAAGCTAGGAAGCCAGCAACCGCCCCCTGGAGGCCTGCTCCCCTCATCCTCCCTGTTGGGGGCGGGGCCCCCGACCGTCCCATGTGCAGACATGAGCGGGCCGGGATGGGTGCTCTGCGCGGTACCGTGGGAAGGTGGTAGTACCACGGCTCCTCACGGCATTCTGATGTCGGTCCTGGCCAGCTCAGAAGGCGGTGTGCCCGGGATGGGGAGCTCCCTGTGGCTCAGCAGGCCTGTGTTCCTGGAAAAGCTGCCTCTCTCCTCAACAGCAAGGCCGGAAGCCCTCGATGCAAAATCTAGAGCGCGACACACTTGACACACAAGATGGAAGACTTGCAGCAAAGCTTAGGCTACATAAACGGATGCTCTGGAAGTCAGAGTCTCTTCTAAACTCTGTTATTAGGGGTTCAATTTCTCTTTATTGAGCTTTATTGGGTAGGTTGTTGTTTGGAGTAATTTTGATTATTAGAAAAGTTAGGAGCAGCTCATATCTTTCTTCCTGGAGGGCACGCGCAATGCGATTGGTGCAGGCCCATCTTGCTCCGTGCTGCTCCATTTGGCCGGGCAGAACCAGTGCTGGGTCAGCCTCCGTGGTCCCTGGAGAGGAGGAGGTCTTCCTGGGGGCAGCAGACGCCACACCCGTCAGCAGGACCCGGCCTCCAGGAAGACCCCCACTCCAGGAAGACCCCCGCTCCAGGAAGACCCCCAATCCAGGAAGACCCCCAATCCAGGAAGACCCCCACTCCAGGAAGACCCCCACTCCAGGAAGACCTCAGCCTCCAGGAAGACCCCCCCACTCCAGGAAGACCCCCGCTCCAGGAAGACCTCAGCCTCCAGGAAGACCCCCACTCCAGGAAGACCCCCGCTCCAGGAAGACCCCCAATCCAGGAAGACCCCCACTCCAGGAAGACCCCCACTCCAGGAAGACCCCTGCTCCAGGAAGACCCCCACTCCAGGAAGACCCCCCGCTCCAGGAAGACCCCAGCCTCCAGGAAGACCCTGGCCTCCAGGAAGACCCCCGCTCCAGGAAAAACCCAGCCTCCAGGAAGACCCCTGCTCCAGGAAGACCCCCGCTCCAGGAAGAACTCAGCCTCCAGGAAGACCCCCGCTCCAGGATGCCCCCCACTCCAGGAAGACCCCAGCCTCCAGGAAGACCCCCACTCCAGGAAGACCCCAGCCTCCAGGAAGACCCCCACTCCAGGAAGAACTCAGCCTCCAGGAAGACCCCTGTTCCAGGAAGACCCCCGCTCCAGGAAGACCCCCACTCCAGGAAAAAACCCACTCCAGGAAGACCCCAGCCTCCAGGAAGACCTCAGCCTCCAGGAAGACCCCCACTCCAGGAAGACCCCCACTCCAGGAAGACCCCAGCCTCCAGGAAGATCTCAGCCTCCAGGAAGACCCCCACTCCAGGAAGACCCCAGCCTCTAGGAAGACCCCAGCCTCCAGGAAGACCCCCACTCCTCCAGGAAGACCCCCACTCCAGGAAGACCCCTGCTCCAGGAAGACCTCAGCCTCTAGGAAGACCCCCGCTCCAGGAAGACCCCAGCCTCCAGGAAGAACCCTGCTCCAGGAAGACCCCAGCCTCCAGGAAGACCCCCACTCCAGGAAGACCCCCGCTCCAGGAAGACCCCCACTCCTCCAGGAAGACCCCCACTCCAGGAAGACCCCCACTCCAGGAAGACCCCCACTCCTCCAGGAGGACCCCAGCCTCCAGGAAGACCCTTCAGAGCTTCGCAGCCATGTGTCTTTTTTTCCAATAGCAAAAACTTCCCTAAACCTCTGAAGTTTTGGTTTTCTTTTTCTTTCTCTCTCTCTCTTTTTTTTTTTTTTTGGTTGGTCGTGGGGCTTGAACTCTGGCCTTGGGCGCTGTCCCTGGGCTCTTCAGCTCAAGGCGAACGCTCTACTACTTGAGCCACAGCACCACTTCGTTTTCTAGTGGTTTATTGGAGATAAGAGTCTCACAGACTTTCCTGCTCGGGCTGGCTTTGAACCAGGATCCTCAGATCTCAGCCTCCTGAGTGGCTAGGATGACAGGCGTGAGTCACCAGTGCCCGGAAAGTTTTGGTTTTCTTAGCAGAAAGTACGGAATGAAACTGGATCGTCCTCTTAGCTCTCTGTAGGAGGTGCTTACTGAATTAGTGCAAGTTGTCTTCTTACTTACTCTTTAAAAAATGTGCAATAACCCACCCTGCCCCCATTTCAGTAGTCGTCCAATGGCAACAGATACATTAGGGAAGGAGGGACCCGTTTTCTTCCCTTTGTGCCCGAAGCCCCGCCCGGTGCTGGGACCACTCTGGCTGCGTGTGCAGCCTGATGCCTGCTGTCTGTCCCCACGTCTGCGCGGCAGTATGTGCGGGACCCTCCGGTGCTGGTCGGTTCCACAGTCCCAGAGGACTCGGCTTTGCGGTTACCAGCATGCACAACGCCGCGAGCACAGCCTGCAGTGAATGCACCGGCATGGTTGCTTTTTTCTGTCCTTCTCTAGGGCCAAGGATGCTTCTGGAGAAATCCATGGAAGAGCTGATTTCTCCCATGCTGAGCACTGCTAAGGCCTGCATGGCGTTGCTCACGCGGTGCCCTCTGCCAAGGCGCAAGCCTGGCCTGTGCGTGGCTGAAGCCTGGGGCACACAAACCCCTCACCCCACGCCCTCCCCCGCACTGCACCCTCTCCCACCGCTGTGTCCTTCCCGTGGGAAACCTGGGGTCCCCTTGGGTCTTGCATGGGTCAAAGACTGTGAGCCATTTCGCTCTGTGGCTTTCTAACTTCTGTGCTCTCTCCCAGCCCCAGCAACGAGGTTCGTGCCCAGCGGCCCTCCCTGAGTGAAGGACCGGCCTGGGAACCTGCATGGGGCATGTGAGGCCAGCCTCTCCCCTCCCCCACTCCCTCGGGATCCCCCAGCCGGAGGCCATGCACCTCCACTTCCTCCCCTTAGACCGGAGCTACAGTAGTCCCCCCCGGCCCTCCCTGGCTTCTGAGCTCCCACACCCAAGACAGCAGCTTCTCCTTCAGATGCACAAGATGGCAGGACAGGGCCCAGACCCTGGTTCTCTGACCTCCAATGCTCGGTCTCGTCCAGTGATGAGCTGCCTGCATTGACTCAGGGTTGCCCTTTGCCCCGTGCGGGGCTCAGCTCAAAGCCCGTGGACTGCCACGGGCGCTTCTCATCTGCAGAGGCTGGGGAAGGGCGCCTTGGGGGTGGAGGTTGTTACCTAATCAATTCTGCTGAAATTAAAGAGGTGCATTTGTGTTTGCCTTGACTCACCTCTGCCTGGGCGCTAGCAGCGGGGCCTCTCGGTATTGGATTCCGGCAGCTGACAGCGCGCTGCCTGCTGGATGGCTTTCACTAATGAATAATGAAGCTCCTTCCTTAGGAGGTGGGAAGCTGGGAGGGGCGCCCCCCCCCCCCCGGGAAGCTGGGCCGACCCCCCACCCCCACCCCAGGAACAGATGCAACCTACCTTACACTTCACTTTCAGCAAATGTGTCTGGCTTGCAGGGATTTGTTCACCTGTTTTTTTTTTTAGGTGTTGACTTTGGTGAAGTTGAATACGTTCTAAAGGTTGTCCTCGGGACCACTATTCCCAGATCCGGAAAATTATTATCTCCAGGTATTTGTACACGGGAGCTTCCATTCAACACGTCGGTTTCTAAGTTCAGCGCACCCACCATTCTTCCGGCCTCTCCCCCCCACCTGCGCCCCCAGCTTTCCCGGCTCCGTGTTCACCTGTGCGCGTGGAATATCACATCTGAGTCCACCCAGCCTTCCTCTCCCTCTGTCTGCCCCTCCTCTCGATGCCTCTGACATCGCATGCATCAGAGTCTATTTTGTTACACTGTGAGTTAGCTGTTACCCCAATGCTGACCTGTGCCACATGCCAAACTGTAGACAACATGGCTATGTTTATATGCCTGTGATGCCATATGCTTTCACATGTGTTCACAACTTAGATCTATCATCTACATAGCAGAGAAAACTTGGGCCTTTCCTTTCTCAGAACTTGACTTACCCCGCTGAATGTAATATTTTCCAGGCCTGTCCATCCCGAACAAAAACTTTGTATCCATTGAACCACAGGGGTCAGCTTCCTCTCGCAGCTCTGGACGTTTCTAGTCTATTTTCTGTCTCTACCAATTCTCTATTCTAGACCCTTCATCCAAAGAGAACCACATGTGTGCTTTGTTGAAGTTTAGGCGAATTATGGTGTATACTTCAGATTCTCTTGGGCCCAGTTTTTGTATTTTCACTTGTCCTAGGACTGAAGAGCTCAAGAAAAGTTCACTTTGCTGAAAGCAGAAGCCTGAGGTGCTTGAGAGCCCAAGATGAAAATGACCTGAAAAGCAGTATTGAGTTTGTCCTCGTGAGTGTGTCAGAAGCTGAGATGACGTAGCTCTGCGTCAGAGCAAAGCCTGGAAAGCGGCACACAGGCAGCCATCATTGCAGCCTCTACCCACTAGGCATTGCAAGAACTTTCCAACCCTCCTCGCTCTGTAACCTGCTCAGCATTGAGTCAATGAGGAGAAAACGAAGGGAAAGAGCAGATGAAGTACCATGGCGTGGCAAGTAGCCAGTTAGATCTGTGTGTGCCTATGCGTGCATATTGGGCACTTACAGCTTTCTCTGGTGGCCCTAGGGGCTGCACTCAGGGCCTGGTGCTTGCTAGGCAAGCATTCTACCAGCAAGCCATGCCCCATCTGGGATTATTTCTGCTGTACTAGAGCATACCTGCAAGTGTGTGGTGCAGCCCCCATTCCAAGCAGACTCTGTTTCTAACGTTCAGTTTTCTGGGAGCGTCCCTCCAAACTAGACATGCAGACATGAGCTCATAAAGTCACAATGATTATGATTGGCAGTGATGACGATGGTGTACACATGATAGTGATGATGATGGTGTACTCATGATAACGATGCCGATGGTGATGCTTCTGATAGTGATGATGGTGGTGATGTGCGTGGTGTTGATGGTGATCACAGTGATGATGGTAGGCAGCGATGATGATGGTATAATCATGATAGTGACGGTGGTAGTGATGTGCGTGTTGTTGAGGGTGATCACAGTGATGATGGTAGGCAGCGATGATGATGGTATAATCATGATAGTAACGGTGGTGGTGATGTGTGTGGTGTTGAGGGTGATCACAGTGATGATGGTAGGCAGCGATGATGATGGTATAATCATGATAGTGACGGTGGTGGTGATGTGTGTGGTGTTGAGGGTGATCACAGTGATGATGGTAGGCAATGATGATGATGGTGATGCTCATGATAGTGACGGTGGTGGTGATGTGCGTGGTGTTGAGGGTGATCACAGTGATGATGATAGGCAGCGGTGATGATGATGGTATAATCATGATAGTGATGGTGGTGGTGATGTGCATGGTGTTGATGGTGATCACAGTGATGATGGTGGGCAGTGATGATGATGGTATAATCATGATAGTGATGGTGGTGGTGATGTGCGTGGTGCTGATGGTGATCACAGTGATGATGGTAGGCAGTGATGATGATGGTATAATCATGATAGTGACGGTGGTGGTGATGTGCATGGTGTTGATGGTGATCACAGTGATGATGGTAGGCAGTGATGATGATGGTGATGCTCATGATAGTGACGGTGGTGGTGATGTGCGTGGTGTTGATGGTGATCACAGTGATGATGGTAGGCAGTGATGATGATGGTGATGCTCATGATAGTGACGGTGGTGGTGATGTGCGTGGTGTTGATGGTGATCACAGTGATGATGGTAGGCAGCGGTGATGATGATGGTATAATCATGATAGTGATGGTGGTGGTGATGTGCATGGTGCTGACGGTGATCACAGTGATGATGGTGGGCAGTGATGATGATGGTATAATCATGATAGTGATGGTGGTGGTGATGTGCGTGGTGTTGATGGTGATCACAGTGAGGGTGATGGGCGGTGATGATGATGGTGATGTACTCATGATAGTGATGGTGGTAGTGATGTGCATGGTGTTGATGGTGATCACAGTGATGATGGTAGGCAGCAGTGATGATGATGGTATAATCATGATAGTGACGGTGGTGGTGATGTGCATGGTGTTGACGGTGATCACAGTGAGGGTGATGGGCGGTGATGATGATGGTATAATCATGATAGTGACGGTGGTGGTGATGTGCATGGTGTTGAGGGTGATCACAGTGATGATGGTGGGCAGTGATGATGATGGTATAATCATGATAGTGATGGTGGTGGTGATGTGCATGGTGCTGACGGTGATCACAGTGATGATGGTAGGCAGCGATGATGATGGTGATGCTCATGATAGTGACGGTGGTGGTGATATGCATGGTGTTGACGGTGATCACAGTGATGGTGATGGGCGGTGATGATGATGGTGATGTACTCATGATAGTGACTGTGGTTGTGACCTCACACAGACCAAGCCACACTCCTAGTGACCTAGGACCTCTGCAAGGCTCCACCACCTGGAAATAGCATGGTGCTGGGGCCCAAGCCTGTCCAACCCATCTGAGGTATTCCCATTATTTCATCAGACTATTTAAGATCATAGACAACAAAATGAAATTGTATCATTTACAGGAAAATGGATGGATCTGGAGAACATCATGCTTAAGAAGATCAGCTAAGCCAGGTGCTGGTAGCTCACGCCTGTATTCCTAGCTACTTAGGAGGCTGAGATCTGAGGATTGCAGTTCAAAGCCAGCCTGGGCAGGAATGTCTGTGAGACTCTTATCTCCAATAAACCACCAGAAAACTGCAAGTGGTGCTGTGAC